CCCCCACTCTTCTGCTTTTATAAAGGTCTGTCGATTTTTGCAAAAACCAACTAATAAAATGACATAAAGTCACATTCACGAAAAAAAACATATTCTATTAAAAGTAAAATCAAGTTTCAATAAAGCAGTTTTTCATTTATCGACATACAATACTTATAATAAATCCCGCATCTCAACCATCGAGTATATCAAAAATCATCAAATTGATTCCTGCGCATGATCATCGGCAACTAAATTCAATCAAAAATCCTTCTTCTTCTTTTCGTCTCGCAATTTTTTCGATGTAAAAACAAAGTGTCGTGTGGACTACCATACATAAGGCAAAAGAGTCCTTCCTTTAGTGTATATATATATATATTTCTCCAACAGTAGCAATGGCAATTCGTGGAACGACGTTTTCAATTCGCGTCGCGTGGATTTTTTGTAATTAATCTTTAGACTCGCGGAGGAGGACGCTAAGGCTCGAGGGTGAGTGTTGCTTTGAGGCAGTGGCACGAAAAAGGGGTGAGGGGAGAATGGGGGGACAGAGAAAGAGAGAGAGAGACTACGAAAGGAAGACAAGTATGCTAGAGAAAGAGAGAATCCAAGAGACCAGTCTGTATCCGCTTTTTGCGGGCGTCAGATGACAGTCGCTTATTTACCGGGCCGCGGCCATCTTGCGCGATCTGACTTAAGGAGGCGGCTACGGAAAGGATGATGATGATGATGATACACACAAGAGAAAAAAACGAAAAAAATTAAATCAGGCGACGGGGACCGAATTAATCGATCGGTTATCAATGTCGATGCGTCTTCTTGATGAGAGAGGGAGAGACGATTATCATCATCATCATCATCATCCTTTCTATATATCGTTTTATACATGTTCTTATTTTATTTCTTCTACTCATTCTTATTCTCATTTATAATTTCTTCTTCTCATTTAGAATTTCTTATTTCTCTTCTCCTTCTCATTTAGAGTTTCTTGTCCCTCGTTCTCATTTATGATTTCTCATTTCTTCTTCTTTGTTTATACAGGTCCAATTGACTGCGAAGGATGGAGCGTCTGCCGAACGAAACCGAGAGTGCGGACAACGGAGCTGCAACGGATTTTCCAGGAAGAAGAGAGAAGAAAAAATAGTTTCTTTGGAAACCTCAAAAGACAAAAATATTCATGCACCACTGGAGGGAGGGGAAAGACGAACAGTTTTTAAAAAATATTCCACAATTTTTTTTACATAAACGGTATTACCCCCAAAAAATTCCATTCTTTTTGGTTTACATTCGTACGTTTTTCTAAATACCTCTAAACGTCAAGAAGTAGGAATAAATTTCTCTAGAGTAGCAAAATCTTCAGTTCGCAGTTTTCAGCCATAAATAAAATTTTTCTCCCCGTGGGGTTTTCCCTTTTTTGTAAACGGTTTTGTTTGACTCGCGTGTATATCGCGAAGAGAGGGCAATTCGATTAACGAGCCGGCAACTGAATAAATTCATTAATTATAGAGATAATAAGTTACATTTCTGTCTTGAGATCCAAGATCGCGATGTGTCTATAAGGGAAGCGACGAGTCGAGTCTTTGCATTCAGGAAAGGAAGCTTAAGTACCCGAAGGAGATAGCGCGAGTACAAAGGGAAAATAGTTAGTAACAAACGGCACATGGTGCTTTTAATTGCTCCTAATTAACATGTTTGATAATTCTCCAGGCTAAACTCCTCTCTATCCGCACCTTAAACTCTCATTGTCGACTATACACTGTCGACTCCTCCTCCTTTCTGACGTATTATAAACTGCCTTTTTAACCCCACCCTCTATCGACGACCTCACTGAACAACCACAAGCGAATGTAAATTCTTCCTAGACACAAAAATCCCCACTTTCGATATACATTTAACTTTTAATTTATTTATATTTCTTTTAATTTACTTGTAGTACTTTTTTAAAATTTACCAATTTTTTTATCTTTATTTGGTTTTATTTTAATTCATCGTCTTTATTTAATTCTGTCTTATTTATTTGTGTTCGCTTCTATAGACTTCGTTGACAATTTAGAAAAAATTTGACAATAGTACCAGTGTTTCATTAGAAAATGGATTCTCGTGGAAGGGAAAAAAAACCCTATCCTCGCTTTTAGACAAAATAGAATGTCTCGGACTGACATTGCGCGTTGTCGAGACGGAGAAAAACGTTAATTAAATTATAGCGCCAATTGCATTTAAGAAGAGGACAGATCTCTGCAACCTATCTAGTCGGGGAATACAGATGAAACAGTCGAGGCACGAATCTCCTTTCATTTGTCATCTCCGCTTTGCGTTTGACTTGCTAGTTTTCCTCCCTATATTGTCTCTCCTCTCGCTTGGAATAGAATTGTCCCACGTTTAGTCGAAAAACCCTCATACACAAACATACACGATTCTCAAACCCTATTTGTACACATGGAAAATTTTATTTTATTTTATTACAAAAAAATTACCTGGAAAATTTCAAATATTTTTCAATTTTATTTTCTTTTTTTAAGAACAAAATTCCAAAAAAAATTCTTAATCTAGAAAATCGATTCTCGACTAGAGAGCAAAAGAGAGAATAGAGGCCGAAAGTTCTTCGACTTCTGGAGTCTCCATGACGCCTCCCTCGTGTTCCGGTTTTTTTTCGCCTTGCCCCCCCCCCCTCCCCCTTTCCCCCCACACACTCTTGGAGTTTCTGTTTTCTTCGCGGGCAAAACTCGTAGACATTTTTTGCTAAGGGAAAAAGAGGGAAAAAAAACCAAACTGACGCTTTGGGATCTTAAAAGTTAAAGACTTCTTTCTTTTTTTTGATAAAAAAAAATTTTTTCAAAATCCGTTTTCTATTCGAATTTTTGAGGTGAAAAATAATTTTCCCTTTTTTTGCACTTAATAGTCTATCGTTAATAAAGATTTTTTTCTCTTACTCTCCTTTGTTTGTCTATAGAATAAGTTTTGCTGGTGTTTCGTCAAGATTAGAGAGCGCTTGATGCGGGTTGTGGGACAAATTAGGGAAAAACCTGGACGACACTGGCATTTGTAAGGATTAAGTAGAAACGATATAAAGAGGCCTGAAAATTCACCCTCAACCCTCGCGCTCCCCCCTTCCTCACCCCCCCCCCCCCTCTCTCTCTCTCTCTCAATGCTGAGAGGAAGAAAAAATATTTAGACATTTATACATTTTATTACATAAAGTAAAAATCAACAATACAGAAAATCCCCTAGATATAAATTATTCAACATAATAATTAAATTTCATTCATTTTGACAAATTTCCTCTCATTTTGAAATATGTTACCTAATTTTTCTTTTTGGAAAAAATAAATTTCATTTTCGAAGGGGGATTAAAGTAAATATTTTAAAATAATTTTTTTTGTTGGGGCGAAGAAAATTTAATTTTTAAATTGAAATGATTTAAAAATATAAATTCTCTATATTCGGGGGGGGGGGGGATTTTTTAATCGAAGGGATTTACAATAAAGCAAAATAATTCAAAATAAAAAAGTGCGGGAAAAATTATATACGATCATTTGGTTGCACCCTTTGGGGAAAGTTTAATTACGCGGTGCCAAGTTTAATATAGTTAAATCCATCGAAAACTGCCGGGCAAGATTGTTTTACGAAAGTAAATGAGGTAATGATGACTCACGCATTTGAAGACCACCTATAGAACAGCAGCCCAAGTCTCCCTCCCCTCTTTACCGAACTAATTAACGCGCACGAGAAGTCTCATCACGCCAAAAGGGATCTTCTTCTTTCATTTTTTCCTCGTTTTTCTTTTTCTCAATACAAAATAATAATTCTTCGCCTTCCAAATCATATTTTCAACTAATTTCGACAATTTTGTTATAGAAACCACCCCCTCTCTCAAAAAAAAAATTATTGGGAAAAATTATTGTATTTTTGTAGTGGTACCTGTAAAAATGGCGGAAGTAGAATCTCATTGTAGAAAGACCTTAAAAGTAATGGTTTTTTACTGTTGTGGAAACACCTTGAAAGTAATGGTCTTTCTACAAGAGAGGAATATTAACAAAATTGTGGTCCTTATACACTGGGAAACATTAATTGAATTGTGGAAATACCTTATAAGTAATGGTCCTTCCACAATTGGAAAATATCTTACAAGTTATGGTGCTTTCACAACAGTGGAATATTAATCCAATTGGGAAACTACCATACAGTTTAAGGTCCTTCTACAAGGGTACAATATTAATTGAATCAGGAAAATTCCTTACAAATAATGGTCCTTCCACAACAGTTGCAATTGTTTCTTCTCACAAAGGTAAATTGACAAAAGTAAAGGTCCTTCCACAACAGTTGCAATTTTATCTTCTCACAAAGGTAAATCGCCAAAAGTAAAGGTCATTCCACAACAGTTGCAATTGTTTCTTCTCACAAAGGTAAATTGACAAAAGTAAAGGTCCTTCCACAACAGTTACAATTTGTTTTCTTCTCACAAAGGTAAATTGACAATAAAAAAGACAAAAATTCGATAAAAAATCTGCAATTCTTTTTATTATCAACCTCACAAACGAGGAATAAATAAACTTTTAGCTCTAAAACGATCCTTCTATCTAAAAACAATTCAAGTCTACTTATATAATGCATTTGTTTATACTTAAACAATTCAAGAGTGTACAAACCAATTGGCTTTATTTTTTTTCGAGGCAAAAAGTGTGGAGAAAAGAACAGAACCCCCGAAAAAAAATCCAATTTTTTCTTCTCTATAAATGACAAACATTTTTGAATCGATACAAAAAAAAATTATCACTCTCTATACTTTCTTATACTCTCTCTCTCTCTTTCTCTCTTTCTTTCTAAATTTTCTCTCCAAAAATTCTAGTTCCTTTTATAAAAAAAAAAAAATTCCCCATAGACAAAAATGACAATTCGCTGAAAAACAAAAAAAAAATTTCACTATCAACGAACAAAAAAAAAGCTGGAAAAAAGTTCAAAAATTAAGATACGAAAAAAATAGTAATGAAAAATTATCTAATGAATAATTATTTACATAACGAAGTTTTTCTACTTTAAAAAAAAATTAAGAAAAAAAAATTACGAAAAAATTTAAAAACGATAATAAATTACGATTTTTAGTATTTTTTTGAATAGAAAAAAAAATTAATAATAATTGTCAGACTTGTGAATGTAAAACTAAACATACGCGCAACACACATACATTTTTTTAACATCATTTGAAAAATTTCTATTATTATTATTTTAACTATTATTTCTATTATTATTTTTTTAATTATTTCAATTATTTTAACTATTTTTAACTATTATTACTATATTCTTATTCTTATCACTATTATTATTTGTTTTTTTTCATCATTTTTCTTACTATTCTTATTACAAACTATTATTATTATTTTTTTATTACTATTATTATCTCAGTCGAATTGTTATTTTCTTCTTGCAAATGAAAATCGTAGAAAAATATTATTTTAATTCTAAATTTACAGTAGTATTTAAAAAAAAAAAAAGTTGTGAACTTGTTTATTGTGTCACTGGTGATGCGCATCAGCTGTGAACTAATTCGGTACCTGAAACAGAAAAAAATTTTTTTTTTGTTAATTTATATGGTAAAAGTTAATATAAATAAACGTTAATAAATATAAATAATCAACCGTTTATAAATAACTATCAACAAATATAAATGAATATCAAGAAATATAAATAAATATAAATAAATATAAATAAATATCAATAAATATAAATAAATATCAATAATTAACAATAAATATCAATAAATAGAAATAAATAAATTTTACAATAAAAAAAATTAAAAAATAAAATAATAGTTTTCCACTTCTCTTAAAATAAAATTTTTCTCAAAAATTCAATTATTTGTAGAAAAATAATAAATTTTTTCGCAGGAATTCAATTATTTAAAAAAGTTTTAATAAAATTCTTGTAAAATATTTGTAAAAATATTTGAAAATAATTAGATTCATTTCAAGAATTTTATCAACATTTTTTCAATTAATTGAATGCTTTTGAGAAAATGTATAATTAAAATTGTATTAAAAATAATTTAATTCTTGTCAAGATTTTTATTAAAATTCTTTAAAATAATTGAATTGTTTCGAAAAATTTATTACAATTTCCTTGAAAATAATAGTTTTCTTTAATAATTTTTACTTAAAATTTTGAAAGTAATTGAATTTTATGAAGAATTCAATTATTTTCAATAATTGTAACAAAATTCTTTGCAAAAAGTCAATATTTATAAATAAAAAAAATTTTCGTAAATAATTCAATTATTATTTTTATATGAATAATAAAATTCTCATCAAAATTTTACTTATTTTTATTTTATTTTAATTTTATAAAAATTCCCAGAAAAAATTTAATTATTTTAAAAAAATAATTGAATTTTTTCACAGAAATTCAATTATTTTTTAAAAAAATAATAATGAATTTCTTCGCAGAAATTTGATTATTTTTAAAAATTAATAAAATTCTTCAGAAGAATTCAATTAATTATTAATTTTTTTAAATAAATTTTTACGCAATTATTCAATTATTTTCATAAATAAATAAAATTTTTTACCGGGATTCAATTATTTTTATAAATATTAAAATCATTTTTAGATATTCAAATATTTTTATAAATATTAAAATTTCCGCTGGAATTCAATTATTTTAAATACAATTTTAATAAAAATTCTTCTGAAAAATTCAATTCTTTTTTTTTTAATTTTTCAAAAATTCAATTATTTGCAGAAATAATAAATTTTTTGCAGGGATTCAATTATTTAAACATGATTTATTTTAATTATTTCAATTATTTTTAATTGAATTCTTCGAAAAATGAAATGATTCTTAAAAATTATATTAAAATTCTTTGAAAAATTCAATTATTATTAAAAGTACATATTAAAATTATTCTCAGAAATTCAATTATTTTGAAAATTTTTAATAAAATTCTTCTCACAAATTCAATTATTTTCACAAATATAATTTTTCACTGGAATTCAATTATTTTTATTCAATATTCATGATTTAAAAAATTCTTCGAAATTAATTGAAAAATTTTAAAACAATTTTTTTTTCCCGATAATTGAATTATTCTTTTGTAGATAATTACTTTTTTTTTGAAGAATTTCATTAAATTTCTTAAAAATAATATAATTTTTTAAAGTAATTTTAATTGAAAATTTTTTGAAAATAATTGAATTTCTCAAAAGAATTTTATTATTTATAAAAATAATTGAATTCTTGACAAGAATTTTACAATTTTATAAAAATAATTAAATTTTTTATTTTAGAATTTGTTGAAAATAATTGAATTTTTATTCAAACTTTTGAAAATAATTGAATTTAAATAATATTTTTAAAAATGATTGTATTCTTCTGGGTAAATTTGGTTAAAATTGTATTAAAAATAATTTGTTATCAAAATTGAATTTTATTGTTAAAAATGTTTGAAAAATTTTTCATTTTTCATTTTTCTTTCTCGACCGTCGCGTAACGTTCGCCCTTTTTTATTACCTCGATAGACAGAAAGTTTTTCAAAATAAAAATCCTCTAATCTAAAAATACTCTCAATTAAAAAATTTATTTAAAAAAAAAATTAATAAACAATGCATTTCAAAATAATTAATAAAAAATTTATTTCAAAAGAATTAATAAAAACTTTATTGAAAAAAAATAAAATTTTTTTTACTTTTTCATTAAAACTAAAATAGTTAGAAATTCTTATTTCAATTTTAAGTAAAAAATTTAATATTTCGCCGAATAACTAAGAAAAATTTATCCCTTTCTTCTGTAATTTGTAAAATCAAGTGGAGATTTTTCTTTTTTTTTCTTTTTTTTAAATTTTTTTTTCATTTTAATAAGAAAAATTTGCTATAAATGAATAATGGGGAAAATTGTTTCTAAGTGATTTATAAAAGATTTGATAAAGAGGGACACAAGTCTTTCTCTGTTTTTGTTATTAGCTAAGTGTATATAGAAGCTTCTGGTTCGTGTTACTACACAGGGAAGTTGAATTATTATTTTTGTCGCCTAAAAATGAAACTCGATAAAAAAAAATCAGTAGATAAAAAAAGAGTGGGAGAAAAAATGCTTTTTTTGGAAAAATAAATTTCTTTTTCCAGTTTTGTTCAAATTTTTAACTAAATATTTAAACAAAAAGACAAATTTCAAAATAATTTGCGAAAAAAAATTCCAATCAATGATTTAATTAATTAAATTATTATTATAATGAATTAGAATTAATTTCAAGTCTATTTTATTTTTTTAACACAAAGAAAAAAAATGATTTTTGTTCAGTATTCTGACTTTTTAAAAAATTTTTTCATATAATTTTTTCTTCTAAGCATAATTTTTATTTTAGTTATAATTATTAATTTTAGTTTTTACATAATTGCAATTCTTTTATATATTTTTTTTACTTTAATTATAATTATTTTTTTAGTTTTTACATAATTATAAAGTTCTTATATAATTATAATATTTTAATGTAATTGAAAATGGTAATTGAAAATTATAATTAAAAATTTAATTGAAAATGAAATTCAAAATTATATAATTGAAAATTATAATTGGAAATTATAATTGAAAATTACAATTGAAAATTATAATTGAAAATTACAATTAAAAATTATAATTGAAAATGATACTGAAAATTATAATTAAAAATTATAATTGAAAATGATACTGAAAATTATAATTGAAAATGAAATTGAAAATTAAATTGTAAATTATAATTAAAAATTGAATTGAAATTAAAAATGAAATTAAAAATTATAATTAAAAATTTAATTGAAAATTATAATTATAATTAAATTGAAAAATGTAATTGAAAATTTTTATTGAAATATGTAATTGAAAATTTTTATTGAAATATGTAATTGAAAATTTTTTATACTAAAGAAATAATTTTAGTTATAAAAAATATTGTTTCAATAAAAAATTGTATAAAAAAATATTGTTGATAAAACAATAATAAGTAATAAAAATTAGTAATTGCAAAAAACACTTTAATTAATAAAAAAAAGTCATGTTAATGAAAACAAAAATAATGACAAAAATGAAAAGAAAAATATAAAAAAAAAATAAAATAAAAAATAAATAAACAAAAATATAAACAAAAATAAAATAAAAAACAAACAGAAGAAAATAAAAACAAAAATATAAACAAAAAAATCACTATTTAAAGAATTCATTTTCTGATGCGGATCAATATTATTTTTCACCTTAGAATTCAAAGAAACTAATTATTTTATGAATCAGCCTTAAATTTTTCCAAATTAAATGAAAATTATACTCAAAAAGCGTCTTGACACATGCATTTAAAAAAAGTAAAGATAAAATTTAATAGAATTTTTTTTTCTCGCTCCATTCTAAGAGCCATTAGCACTTTTCTCTCTTTTTTTTTTCTTTTTTCGAAAATTAGGGTTAAACGCATCAGTAAAATTAGAAACTAATTTTAATCTAGATTGCCAGGAAATTTGTATCAGCAATTTTCGTTTAAAAGGCTAAATTTTCTAAAATGATGATGTCAACATATTTTTGAGTGTATTTTTTTTAGATCAGATTTTTCAAGTCGCACTTTAAATGGCATTTTCCGTTTCCGACGTATATATGATATACATTTATTTGACGCCTTTAAAAATATTTTTGTTCTTTTCACACACTAATGGATAATTAATGACGCTCTCAAAACACGGAACCATTATCGAAAATCGTTTCGAGAAATTGCTGCAATCCTTTTTTTTATCCCGTATATGTCGAATTTAAGTCTTTAAAAACCGATTCATATTTTTTTAAAGGATTATTTTTTTTTTTTTTTTTTTTTTTTTTTTTTTTAAAGAAAAGTGAAATTTTGAAAATTTATTTCGATTTCTGTAAATGTTTTTTTAATATTCTATTAGTAAATAAGTAAATTTTTTAATTTCAATATTTTTCATTCAATAAAAATATTTGTCATTGAATAAAAATATTTCCCATAGAATAAAAATACTTTCCCTTGAAAAAAACTATTTTTCATAAAAAAAAACTTTTTTATAACTAAAAATATTTTTATTTTAATAAAAAATATTTTTTATTGAATAAAAATATTTCCCAAAGAATAATAATACTTTCTCTTGAATAAAACTATTTTTTATTCAACAAAGAAACTTTTTTAGAACTAAAAATATTTTTTTTTTTTTGATAAAAAATATTTTTCATAGAATAAAAATACTTTTCCTTGAATAAAACTATTTTTTATTCAAGAAAAAAATTTCTTTAGAACTAATAATTTTTTTTTTAGAATAAAAAAATATTTTTCAATGAACAAAATTACTTGTTTATAACTAAAAATATTTTTTTAATAAAAAACTTTTTTTCATTGAACAAAAATATTTTTTGGTAACTAAAAATATTTTATTTAGTTCATTTTATTGTTATATGAAAAACATTTATTTGTAATTTATTTATTATTTAATATTTTTATTTATTTTATTATTATTGTTTATTTTAAATAATTGCCATTAATTTTCATTTTTTTACGTATTTTAATATGTACTATTAACAATTTGTAGAAACACCTTAA